ATGACGACGATAAGCAAGCTAGGGATCTAGAGCTGTTGGCATCTCCTACATCACCATTGGCAACCTGACAGAAGGACAATTACATGTCCTTCAAAAAGACAGCAAACCAGAAGGTTAGTGATTTTGCCCCAGTGACCGTTTTTTTTAATATACCTAACATTTAAAAAGGTGATAATAGATGCCCCAGTCCTGCAAGCAAAACCATCCACTGCAATAAGGTTGAATCAAAAGCACAGCAAAGGAAAGGAGACACTGTACAATCTTCAGAGACATGAATTTTCCAGGTGGAGACCAAGAACTATGAAAGGTCTAGATATAAAACTTCCAAACCTAAAAATCAGCTTAAACCTTGAAAAGAACAGGCATCCAAGTTCTTCAGAGCACAAAATATCTGGAGGTTTGTTTACAAGTCACAAAAGCCCAGAATGAGCATTTCTTCTACAGCAATCTTTGCATTTAAAGGAACACCAGGAGATTAAATCTCCCTTCTCCTAAAACTGTGGGTGGGGTGGTGTTTTGTTTTGGGTGGGGGGTTTTTTTAGTTTGGTTGGGTTTGGGGTTTTTTGTTTGGGTTCTTTTTCTTTTTCACATTTTTAATCATTCTAGGTCCCTTTATGTTATTTCCTCTAAACTACTAAAGATTTTAAGAAATAAAGGGAATCCAAGGACAGATGATGAAAGTGATTAGAGGCTTAGAAAGACTTCCATATGAGGAGAGATTAATAAAAAGACTGCCTCGCTTATAGACAAGATTAATGGGAGGGATCATAAGAGAGACATGGAAAATTGGAAGAGACATTCCACAGAATGCTTTTTCATCACTAGAAAGCAAGTGAATTTCTGTATCCTTTTTTAATGTAAGCCTTTTTTTGTGCATGCGTGATCACATAAGAATCAGTTCATCCACAAAACACTTGATTCTATTGCTAGTCTCACTAAAGCTGAAAGCAGAAGACTGAAATTAAGATTCTCTATTTGTTAATAAATAAAACACATCTGTTGAAGGTAGTTTTTGTTTTGTTTTTTAAATAAAGGAAGAATTTTTACAATTTCAAATATAAGTCTACCACTAATAAGAGAAAGTTCTGAATAGGCTCCAATGTGCAAGAAATTACATAATTAGGACTTCCTGCATGTCTCTCTAAAGCATCTGGTACTTGTTAAAAGCAGGACGTACCACTGCATAGACTTCTGATGGGATGCAGTAAAGGAATTCACGTTTTAGTTGTACTAGAAAAGGATTTTTCTCCTACGAAGCCATATGTATAAAGTTATAATCCTGATGAAATGTGGAGGATTGTTGTACTGTAAGGGCTAAGAGATCAAGAGTGAAGAGCAATGCCCTGATCAGCAGCAAAAAAATTGTGTACACAGGTGTCTGAGGTCTAAATAGGACAACCTGGTGAGCATTCAGAGATAACAGCTTTAATAGAGCCTTGAAAGGCAGTCCTGACACAATACTCTAGAAGCAAAAGTCAACACAATTAGGCATAAGTTAGCATAGCTAAGCTAGTTTGAGCATCAGGAACGTTACTATTGTATTTGCATAGACCTCTGCATGGACTTACTGCCTAAGAAGCACGGCGTAGCCAGAATCTGAGCACCTCTAGTCTTCCACAGTACTCACTGCAAGAACAAGTCCCTTAAGAAAGCACTATGACACTCTTTAGCTGTCCTGCAAGCTACATTCCAGCAAGAACAGTACTTGGTGCATCACAGCTAAAAATGCAACCCTTGTTCCCAAATCTTGTCCTACTTTATGGCTTAGGTCCCAATTTTGAAAGATTTGGATTAGTTTTCGAAGTGTTGCACGAATCGGCTAGTAGTGGATGTGAAGCACAGTGAAGCTGCAGCAACTGGCATTAGCAGAGGTGAACAGAAACATTTTGCACAGCTGTATTGTCCACATTGGTTCCACCTGTGCCACCCAAGTGAGCTGCAGTAATCCAGATTACAGTGACCAGATACTGTTGACAAGGAAAGGCAGGAAAAGTCTCCTGGAAGGGTACCCTTCTTAAAGCTGGGGATGGATGATTTACCAGAACCAAGGTAACCACATGACTGTAAATCTATACCCACCAAATAACACCAAAACTGTAAGGCACTGATACCATTACATTACAAGCAATAGTAGTTTTATGCCCCACTCTGTGCTGCCATGCACAGCATAGCTTGGCTCTCTTGTGTCTCGTCCAAGGAAGAGAACAGGAATCCAGCCCCTCCGTCAAAATACTTGGCCTCCTTAGGCAGCAATGACTCCCCCCACATTAAGAGTGACTCAGCTGTTCTTCATTAAAGTGTTCTCTCTCTTTCAGGCACTGGCAACTTTGCACAAAATGTGACATATGGTTCATTGGAGAGTTGTTAGCAAAGCCCAGGATATCTTATACTTCAAACGGCCACAAAGAAGAAGGTACTGAAGAGACCTATTGCCTTACACCAAAGGAGCTTTTTAGCTGCAGCA